GATACCAATTTTCCAGACAAAGACACCACAAGAAAACAAAACTAGTGAGGTGTGGTGGCACATACCAGTAGTTCCAGCTACTCTGGAGGCTGAGATGGGAGGATCACTTGAGCCTGGGAGTTGGAGTCCTGCCTTGGCAACATAGTGAGACCCCCATCTCTAAAACAGAAAGACAAAAACAGCCTAAACAACAACAACAAAATAAATGAAAACTGTAGGCCAATATTTCTGATGAACACAGCTTCAAAAATCTTCAATAAAATATGAGCAAACTGAATTCAACAATACATAAAGAATATTATACATCATGACCAAGTGGGATTCATCCCTGGGATGCAAGTATGGTTTCACATACAGCACACTGAGTAAAATAAAATATCTAGAAATACATTTAGAAAAGGAGGTGAAATATCTCTATAATAAAAACTATTAAACATTAATGAAATAAATTGAAGAAGACACAAATAAATGGAAAGGTAGTCCATGTTTATGGATTGGAAGAATTAGTATCATCCATACTACCCAAAGCAATATACAGGTTCAGTGCAATTCCTATCAAAATTTCGATGGCATTCTTCATAGAAATAGAAAAAAGAATTCTAAAATTCATATGGAACCACAAAAGACCCTGAATAGCCAAAGCAATCTTAGGAAAAACAAAGCTGGATGCATCACACTTCCTGATTTCAAATTATGTCACAAAGTTATAGTAATCAAAGCAGTTTAGTTTTGGCATGGGAACAGACAGTGGAACAGGATAGAGAGTCCAGAAGTAAACCCAAGTATATACAGTAAAATAAATTTTAACCAAAAAAAAATAAATAAATAAAAAATAAATTTTAACAAGGGCACCAAGAAGACACAATTGGGAAAGAATAGTCTCTTCAATGAATGGTGTTGGGAAAAATGGATATCCACATGCAAACGAATGAAACTGGACCTTTATCTTATACATACACAGAAATAGTTATCTTACACAACTAAAATTAGATTAAAGACCTAAACATAAGATCTGAAGCCATGTAACTCCTGGTAGAAAACATAGGAGAAAAGCTCCTTAACATTGGCTTTGGCAATGATTTTTTGGATATCACATCAAAAACTCAGGCAACATTTGGCCGGGCGTGATCACTCACGCCTGTAATCCCAGCACTTTGGGAGGCTGAGGCGGGCAGATCACGAGGTCAGGAGATCAAGACCATCCTGGCTAACATGGTGAAACCCCATCTCTACTAAAAATACAAAAAAATTAGCCGGGCGGGGTGGTGGGCGCCTGTAGTCCCAGCTACTCGGGAGGCTGAGGCAGGAGAATGGTGTGAACCCAGGAGGCAGAGCTTGCAGTGAGCCAAGATTGCACCACTGCACTCCAACCAGAGCAAGGCTCTGTCTCAAAACAAAAAACAAAGAACACAAAAACAACAACAACAACAACAACAAAAAAAACCTCAGGCAACAAAAGCAAAAATAAGTGAGACTACACCAAATTTAAAAGTTACACAGCAAAAGAAACAATCCACAAAGTGAAAAGGAAAAGGCATCCTATGGATTGGGAGAAGATATTTGTGAACCATATATTTGATAAAGAGTTAATATCCAAACTATATAAGGAGCTCACATAACTCAGTAACAAAAACACAAAACCCAGTTAAAAACTGGGCAAAGGACCTGAGTAGACATTTCCCTCAAGAGCACATAAAAATGATGAACAAGTATATGAAAAGGTACTCAATGTCACTAATCATCAGAGAAAAGCAAACCAAGACTGAAATGAAATAATCATTTCACATCTGTTAGAATGGCTATTATCAATAAGACAAAAGATAACAAGTGTTGGCAAGGATGTGGAGAAAGGCAAATCCTTGTACACTGTTGGTAGAAATGTAAATTGGTGCAGTTTTATGGAAAACAGTATGCAGGTTTCTCAAAAAATTAAAAATAGAACTGCTACATGACTCAGCAATCTCCCTTTTGGGTATATATCCAAAGGAAATGAAATCAGCCCTTCACAGGGATATTTGCACTCCCATGTTCATTGCAGCATTATTTACAGTTGCCCAGATATGGAAACAACCTAAATGTTCCTGATGGGTAAGTAAATAACAAAATTGTAGTATATATACAATGGAATATTGTTCAGTCTTAAAAAAGGAAAATCTGCCATTTGCAACAACATGAATGAACCTGGAAGACATTATGTCAAGTGAAATAAGCCAGACGCCAAAGTAAAAATACTGCATGATCTCACTTATATAGAGAATCTTTAAAAATGTGTCAGATACATAGGAACCAAGAGTAGAATGGTAGTTACAGGGAATGGGGGTTAGGGTGGAGGTGAGGCAGGAAATGGGGAGATGTAGATCAAAGAGTACAAAGTTGCAGTTATGTAGGATGAATAAATCTAGAGATCCAATGAATGTACCGAATGACGACTATAGTAATATTGTATTATAACTAGAAGTTTGCCAATACAGTAGGCTTTAGATGTAATTACCACAAAAAGGTGGAAAGGGGTTAAATATCTGAGATGATGGATGTTAAATCTAGTTCCTTGACTCTAGTAACCACTTAACTATATAATTAACCATATAATTATATATGTATGTCTATGAAAACATCAAGTTGTACACCTTAAGTATGTATAAAAAAAAGAAAAAAGTCTTATTCAACTACTTAGAATTCTGGGTATTCTGAAATGACTGAAAACCCCGTCATGTCCTGTTAGCTTTCGTACATATACTAAGGCTCTCTGCATCCATGCAATTCAATGTGTGCTACTTTTCTTTCTTTCTTTTTTTTTTTTTTTGGAGACAGAGTCTCAGCCTCCCAAGTATCTGGGATTACAGGCGCCCACCACCACTCCTGGCTAATTTTTGTATTTTAGTAGAGATGGGGTTTTGCCGTGTTGTCCAGGCTAGTCTTGAACTCCTGACCTCAAGTGGTCCACCTGTGGCGGCCTCCCAAAGTGCTGAGATTACAGGTGTGAGCCACCACACCCAGCTAATGTGTGCTACCTTTCTTTTGCTTCTGCTGAAATTTGCTGATTTTTGGTATCTGAAGTAAATACGCAATTTTCCTCCTTTTCCTCTCCACTCCTCCAAAAAAGAATAAAACAAGCCTAAAGCTTTGTTTACCCCAATTGACTTTATTTTTTGTAGTCATCCTTAGTAACTCTTTATTGCTTAATGGACAAAATTAAAGTTTTTAGCCTGGTATTTAGGCCTTGCAGAATCAGTTGGAAACACTTTCTCAAGCTTCTGCCTGCTTCTCCTGTTCTATACCGTTTACTCAAGCCAAACTCAGCTGTTACTGATCTCATATATCATCTGTTTTTGTTTTTTTTTTTTATTTCCTTCTTATTCCCCTCCTCCAATTCATCCTCTTCTTCCCATCAAGGCCAATCTAAATCCTTCTCATTTTTAAAGTCTACATTTATAGATTTTCCTAGTCTTAAGTCATCTTTTTTCTCCTATGAATTCCTATAGCACTTAATTGACACTTCTTATGACATGTTTAATGTTTGGCTGGTCATAATAGCTTTTTCTATAAATGTTATACCTTCTCTTATGAGGATATAACCTTCTTAAGGACAAAACTGTGTTCTTATTTTATTTCTTTGTAGCACCCTATAGTGCCATGTACAAAATAGATGTTTAGTAAACAGTACTTCACCAAATGCCTTATTGCTTTTGAAAGCACTTCAGTTAACGTGATTAGAAGTTATTCAGAATGATTTGGCACAGTAACTGTCCTCTAACATAATAGATTGTAACAAAAAATCTTTTTGATGAGGATATAGTATTGGGGAAACATTGGAAGGATATCTTGCCTTAGCAGAAAGTATCTGGGAATTAGTACCACTATAGAAAAATAAAAATGGCAACACATGGCTAGAAAATATCTATTTCAAATGGAAATAGAAAGTTCAGAGAGTAATCTAAGCTCTGGATTCTGATATACTTTTGTGTGGCTTACAGGGACAATATAAAGGCATTTATACATTCATATAGTAATCTTTAAACATATAGTAATCTTTAAAAGTTATTAACAGGATTCAGCATTGGGCCAGTAACTGGAATATATGTATGTTCACATGATTGTTGCTCTTTCTTTCTGTTTGCATAAGTTCCAATAAGATTTTTAAAATTCCTTTTCACATATTATATAATGCTATATAATTCTTGTGTGTACATGATATTTATTGATTTGAAAAGTTATTAGATATTCTCTTTGTAGGCAAGATCTGAGAGGCAAAATGTTGATTGATTTTTCATTTTTCAAGATTAACTTTAAACAGATGACTTGGCTGAAGCTGTAAGAGCAGTAGCAATTAGCCTCAGGTTACTGCATTCCTGTGGAGACTAACAAGGATGCCACCTGGTTATTTACAGACCATTCTAGAATATCTCTGCCTTAATGTGGTGGTGTGAGTAGAATCTAAATTTATCTTGAATGTCTCTATGCTTGAGGGGTTTTTAGCACTGTACCATCTTAGGTTAGAGTGATTTCTAGAGTTTCAGTTCCCTGAGAACATTTAGATTGATTATTAAGGGGCATTTAGAAAAAAAAATCACAACTTACAGTGCCCATTGCTTTGTTGTTTACACAGAAACAGCTGATACATAAAAATTGTCAATCATAACAGCTACATATTTCAGAAGAATTTGGGGTGAGAATGATGAAACTATTAATGAAATGAGATAATAGCAGTTGGGAAATGCCATCAACAATATAAAATGAAAACTGTGAGTCACAAAAGATGCTAGTTATGTTTGCCAGTTAGGTGGCATCAGAGCAATTTGAACCACTTTAGCTGTGTTAATCTGTACTTTTCTGTAGTTTGCCTATATCACAGAATCAGTATAAATGTATATGGACATTTATTAGGCTTAACATTCCAAAAAGTTTTAAATATGCATGTATTAGTTACCTATTGCTGTTGTAACAAATTACCACAAACCTTGTGGCTTAAAACAATATAAAAGGTTTTTGGGGTTTTTTTGTTTGTTTTGTTTTTACAGTTCTGGAAGCCAGAACAATTACAATTAAGTATAAATTCAAAATGAGTTATATAGGAATAAAATCCAGGTATCAACAGGGTTGGATCCTTCTGGAGGTTTCCGGGGAGAATCTGTTCCTTGCCCCTTCCATCTTCTGGTGGCTGCCTGCCGGTGTTCTTGGGTGGTAGCTGTATGACTCCAGTCTCTGTTTCTGTGGTTACATTGCCTTTTCCTCTTCTGCAGCCAAATCTGCTCCTGCCTCCCTCCTGTAAGGATACCTGCAATTATATTTAGGGGTCACACAAATAATCCAGGATAATCTTCCCATCCCAAAATTCTTGACTTAATCATTTCTACAAATCCCCTTTTGCCGTATAAGGTAGCATTTCACAGGTCCTATGAATTATTACGTAGATTTTATTCAGCCTACCCTAATACCCATTATGATATACCCACATTTTAATACAAAATATTATTTTAACCAGGATCTTTTAAATGTGTTTCACTTAGAAGGAAGATGATTTCACATTTTAATATTAATGCGGAAGTTCATAGTTGGCTTTTAATTGACTCTTTCCTCTTGATTGTGTCATTGGTGGTTTTCTAAAAGTAATTCTTTAATTTTATGACGTCTATAAAACACCAGTATTTCCAAAAAAGAGAAATGTTTGTATCATCTCTTTTTATATATTTGTAATTTCCCCTACCTATCAAAATTGGATTAGAAGTTAGCCAGGAATAAGTTAGGAGTGTCCTATAGAATTATCCATATGATCTAATTTGGTGGGAATTGGCATGTTGGATTTGGCAGATAATTGAAGTAGAATACATTTACAGTAAATCATTTGGAAATTTGGATTTTATCATGGTCTTCTCACTTTTTTAACATTTAAAAACTTTTATTTAAAGATAATTATGTATTTATAGAATAGTTGCAAAAATCAAAACAGTACAAGAAAAAACAACACACACCTCCATACTCTACCTAGATTCACCTAAGGTTAACATTTTACCCCATTTGTTTTATCTTTTGTTCTCTCTCTTTGTCTATGTATGTATGTGTATCCTTTGTCTTTAATGACATTGACATTTTTGAAGAATGCAGTCCTCCTTCCTGTTTTCCCCTCTGTGAGGATTTTTAAAAATTGGATGTAATTCACATGCCATGTAATTCACTTTTTAAAAGTGTACAAATCAGTGGTTTTTGGTATATTCATAAGGTTGTACAAGGATCACCGTGATCTAATTCCAGAACATTTTCATCACCTGAAACAGAAACGCTGGGCCTGGAGTGGTGGCTCATGCCTATAATCCTAGCACTTTGGGAGGCTGAGATGGGAGGATCACTTGAACCTAGGGATTTGAGGCTGCACTGAGGCAAGATTATGCCACTGCACACCATCCTTGGTGACAAAGTGAGACCCTGTCTGTAAACAAAACAGAATACTTTAGCAGTTATTCCTCATTCCACCCCTCCTCTGACAATCACCAATCTATTTTCTCTTTGGATTTGCCTATTCTGGGCATTGTATGTAAAAGTAATCATTTGATATATGACCTTTTGTGTCTGGCATCTTTCACTTAGCATAATGTTTTCAAGGTTCATCATGTTGTCACATGCATCAGTTTTGAATCATATGAAGTGCCGAGTAACATTCAATTGTATGGATTAATGAAATGGCCAAGTAATATATTCCATTTATGGATATACCAAGTTTTTTTATCTATTCACCATTTGATGAACGTTTAGGTTGCTTCTACTTTTTGGCCATTATGCGTAGTGCTGCTATGAACATTCAAATTTTTATGTAATGTACAACTTTTTATGTAAATATGTTTTCCATTCTGTTGGGTGTACATGAAGGAGTAGAATTGCTGGGTCAAGTTAAACTCTGTTTAACTTTTTAAGGAACTGCCTGCTCATTATTTTTAGTTTCTTTCCTAAGGCGTTTTTTCTCCTCTTTGAAAATTCAGGGCAGCGATTCTGGGGTGGGGGTGGTAGGTGCTTTTTTCAACCTCAGATGTCCTTCCAGAGATTTAATGTTGAGGATAACTTCTTTAAAGTCTAGCAGGGTGCTCCTCCCTTGACCTGAGAATAAAATACTAAGATGATCTGACCTAGCAGAATAGTTCTTTTCATTTGTGTTTAGTGGTTTTCAATACATTTTGTTTTCTATTTAGTTCTATTAAAGAGATTGTTGGCAACCTTAGTTGTTTTAGTAGATTAAAATGCTTCTTAACTGGAATGTTATTTATCCCTATCTATTGGCTTAGAAGGAGAACTGGGAATCCGTTCAACAAATAAAAGGTTTTTTTCGTCTTTTAAAAAATCACGGAGAAAAGGACACAATGTAGCATTAGTCATATTCCTTTAAATAGAAGAAAATATAAAAATTAATTTTGTTAGTATAATTATTTTAAAGATGTGATGGCAAATCCATACAAAAGCTTAGGAGTAAAATTTGTTTAGCTTTATTTTAATATCTATAATAATTGCTTATTCCTACATGATATGGAAAAAATAAAAATTTTGGGTTTGTATATAGTTCAAGCATCTTTAATCATAGGTGAGAAGATCTTTAAATATCTTAAAAAGCAAAAGAAATAGAAAATTCAGTCAAAGATAAGAGTTGGGGTAAGGGTTGCAGCATTCTGTAAGATCAAAATATTAAGTAACATTTGACTTAGATTAAGTAATCTAAGGCTGTAGGCTATAGGACTGCAAGATAAACTCTGCCTTTAAGTTAAAAAGTACTTACTTTGCATAATAAATTAATTAGAGTTATGGAGAAGAAACCAGGAATATCCTAGCTGAAATCCCTGATAGTAATGAAACTGATCAGCTAAAATGATATTATCAAAAAAATGCCTTGAGATGATAAGACTTTCAATAAGGGATATGCAACTTTTAACCCTAGGGAGATTGACAGTTAAATATGAATTGAGAATCAAACCTAGGTTTTCTATTTCATTTTGGAGCTTGGATATCTATTATCAGTAGACAGCCAATATTTTATGGAATGCCCGTACTATAAGTTCCCTATGAACAAAAACAATATCCTATTTACCTTTAAAGTTAAGAGCATTAACTTTGGTACTGACACCAAAGTTAAGAAAATAAGAAAATGCATATTTCAAAATAAGAAAATAAAATAAGAAAATGCATATTTTCTTCAAAATATTTCTTCAAAATAAGAAAATGCATATTTTCTTCCAGCTCTCCCTATTTCCTCACTGAATTCTTATTTATTTATTTATTTATTTTTTGAGACGGAGTCTCGCTCTGCCGTTCAGGCTGGAGTGCAGTGGCCGGATCTCAGCTCACTGCAAGCTCCGCCTCCCGGGTTGACGCCATTCTCCTGCCTCAGCCTCCCGAGTAGCTGGGACTACAGGCGCCCGCCACCACGCCCGGCTAGTTTTTTGTATTTTTTAGTAGAGATGGGGTTTCACCGTGTTAGTCAGGATGGTCTCGATCTCCTGACCTCGTGATCCACCCGTCTCGGCCTCCCAAAGTGCTGGGATTACAGGCTTGAGCCACCGCGCCCGGCCTTCCTCACTGAATTCTTAAGTTTCTAAGCCTCGGTTTCTTCATAAAATAGAAATGACAGTATCTATTTTATATGGATGGGGACGGTGAAATGAGATGATGAATGTAAAGCATTTAGCATAGTACTTGGTATATAGTAGGAGCCCAATAAATGTTAGCCCTTTTACTGTTATTGTTCTTCTTGTTCTTATTGTTTTTATGCTATTTCCATGTAGATCATGTAACTATTTTAATAAATGTTTGTTCAATCAATGTCTTACTTTTCAGTTACATTGTTTAATATTTTTGCCTTATCTACAGTTATAAATTTGTTTGAAGTTTATAGAAAATGTATAGCATGTTAATATGTTTGATAGTGTCATACCTTCTAGTAAACTTTGATAATTTAGATTTGCTATACAGAAGAGAGATTTAAATGTTGTCTCTCTCTCTTCTTTTTTTTAATTTTAGAGACCTATTACTACATTTCTCCATTAGTTGGTGTATTTTTCTTGGCTCTAACTCCTATTTGGATTATAATAGCTGCCAAACATCCAGCCACAAGAACAGTTCTCCACTCAGGCTGGGAGCCTGTCATAACAGCTATGGTTATAAGTAGGTTAGTATTAAAATGTGTGTGTGTGTGTGTATGTCTCTCTCTGTCTTTGTGTGTCTTCTGTAAGCATATATGTACATGCATATTAAAACAAGTGAATTGCCTGTTTTTATTTCTTAGGTTAATTATTTTATATGGCCAATTCATTATTCTCCCAGGTATTATAACAAGGGATCTGAATGACAGGCATTATTAATGAAATCAGTAGACATAAAGAACCTCATTTGGCTACCAGTTTCAAACTTCTCTCCAACCAAAGCCTTACCAGACTGAGTAAAATTTAGTGGTGTTTGTCTTTGTGTGTGTATGTGTGTGTTAACCTGACAAGGACATTACTTACTCTGAGTATTAAGTTGCTCAGATGAATATCATAAAGCCTTAGAAATGTATATTCCGTTGGCTATTTCCATATCTAGGACTCTGATGACCTTAAAGATGTAATTAAGGATGTATGTAAAAGATTTAGCTGCAAGCATCCTCATCACCCCAGAGTGTTTAATTAAAAAAAAAAATAGGACAACATAAAGGTCTTGCAATATGGTATTGATCAGATAAATTATTATATAGTCACAAAATGGAATATCAGCCATTAAAGTAACGTTGTAGCATTTCTATTGCTACGGAAAGATGTTTATTATACATCTGATGAAAAGAACAACCTAGAAAAGAGTATGAGTTTCCTACTAAACATGGTAGGTTAAGAAACATTTCTTTTCCTTCCTGAAACTACTAAAAGGACAGTAAGAGAATAAAAATATTATAAAACCACCAAGATAGCAGGGGAGCAAAGACGGCAGCAGGTGAGAGATCTGACAACGTTAGAAAGATAGGAATCAGATGAAGAGCTGTTAACTGAATGAGCAGAATGAAAAAAGCTGAAACCTAACTGACTATCAAAAGCAAGCCTCAGAAACCCAGAAAGAGGAATTGAAGGCATCAAGTACATCTGAAAGCTTCAATGAAGAAGATTGGTTGAAAGTTTAGGTAAGGAGCAACTAGATCCCCAAAATCTTTCTCCAGCTTTAGCACCCATGTGACTGTCCCCTCACACCCTAGCAGAAGACAAGAATAACCTCTCAAGAGGCTAAATTGGAGAGGTTCTGGATTCAAAAACACATGTACATGTGAGGATGTGG